AAAATTTTCCCCCCCCCCCCCCCCCCCCGCCCCCCCCCTCCCCATGACATTTTCCAACCCTACAGGGTATCGAGCCCAATGACTACAGCTTCAGCGCCGCGATGTGGGCTTGCGTCAACGCGGACGAAGGAAAGCGGTGAGTGAGACGTCATTCGCATTTTCCCGGAAATTTCTTGGCATTTTTCTTGGGTGAAAGACCGAGTTCAACAGAAGCACCGCCGTTGTATTGTCTACCCTCACCCGGTTCTGTTGCCGGGCTGGCTGATGTGCTGCTGCGTTGTATGCCATGGGATTGGTGATGCCGACACTATAAAAGTCACCGCCGCGCCTGTTTACGGGGCATGTAGCGGCATGCGATGTCTTGGATGTGTTGCGTTGTGTGAGCTTTCAGTGTTCTTTTTATGCTCCTTCTTTTGGTTATTGGTGTTTTAGTCTCCCCATCTATCTCACCTATTCTGTCGCCAATATACAAGTACGCATTTCGGTACGGTACATTTGACTTGTCGGCGGGTCTTTCACATTGTGATCCTTTCTCTTGTTTCGCCCTCTTTTCTACCACTGCAGCGCCTTGCAGCTGTTCGCGACGATCATGGACGTTGCCCCCGCAGCAACTAGCTCCACCACCACTACCAGCCGAGCTATCGGTGGCGCGGACACCCATACCGTTGACAGCCTTTCGGCCGCTGTTCCTCATGCGGTGAGAACTCAATTCCCATCCTTTCTTCTTTTTTGTTGTCGACCTCTGCCCCAAAGCCGCTTCACTTTCGAGCTGTTGGTAACCTTGTGCCGTGCGTAGTTTGCCGCGTGCCAAGAGCACAGGTTATTTTTCTTTGGTGATACACCGAATGGTCACTGTAGTGGTCGGGCCTAGTCCTACTGCTTTCGCTTGGCCCTTTGTCTGTGCATGGGTCATCCACCAAACCGGGCCCCCTACTTTTTCCGAAGTATGTTTAGCCCCCCCCCCCCCCGTTTTTTTTTGGTTGTGTGTTCTTCGCCCACGGAAGGCGCCCATGTCAGTTAGATCGGTTCGAATATTTGAAGGTGTATACTAGCAGAGACAGGAACGATTCTCGACGTTAAGCGACGACAACAACAACAACAACAACAACAGCAGCAACAGCAACATCGATGGTCTGCCACCATGGCTCGCCTTCGCTGGCTGTTTTGTTTCCCGACCCAAGCCCGGATTGCTTCACGTGTGTTTTTTTATCCCGCGGTACTACTGTTGCAGGGGTCCTTGTGCGATGGCGATGACAACGACAGCAGTAGCCCTCGTAACGAGGACGGGTCTGACGCGAGAGGGGTGGTGGCGGCGGCGGCGTCCGCCGCCCCGGGCAGGGGGGTAGCAAGGAGCCGCGACTGCTACATGGCGGCGATATCGGCGTGCCACAAGGAAGAGGACTTCCCCCGCGCCCTCGCGCTGCTCAAGCACATGCGGAGGAAGGTGCGCTGTTGTTGTTGTTGTTGTTGTTTGTTGCTGATCTTACTTCTCGGACATGATTGGCTCAAGCTAACCTCGTACCCCCTCGTTGCAACGATGAAGTGGTAGCGGTGCTTCAGCCCTTTCCACATGTTGCCGTCACTGCGCAGCACTTATGCCACATGAACTTAAACCCAGCAGTAATACATGCTGTGGCGTGGACATGTTATATCGTTAGTCTTACAACGGCCTTCACTATAATTATATTTTCTTAGTGCTGCCATCGTTATCACAAGACTTGCCAGGACCTTGAGATGATTGCACTGCTGTCATGGTCGTTCTTTCCATGTACAGCACCGCGCATTGTAGAGCTCTTCGTCTAGCTGAAGTAGCCCCTGCCTCTGGGCTGGAATGGTGTTTGTATTTTGGTTCGCGGTCACGACATTGGCAGTCTTCCCACGTCTACACGGGGTGTGGTTGCTTCTGTAAAATTCGTACCAACTTTCGTTGGCGTTGTCGTGTGTTTTTGATTGCTTCTTCTGACTCCTATTTTTGCACGCGTCGATTCTGTTGCTGCTGCTGCTTCTGCTGCTGCTGCTACTGCAGGGCGTCAGGGGAAGCTTGGGGCTCTACAACCTGGTGCTGAGCATGTGCGAGAGGCACGGTGACGCGGAAACTTCTAAGAAGCTTCTGACTCTCATGCGGATGGACCGGGTGTCCCCTTCGGTTGTCTCCTGCAACCAGGTCATCCGGGCTTGCGAGAAAGCAGTGAGTGAGCTTGCCAACAAGGCACGCACAAGCAGAACACGAATAAGCCCATGGTCTACACGAATCTATCTCACTTTTGATGGTGTGTCATGAGAGACCTGCTGCCCGAACTCTTCCAGTACACAGTGCTTCTCCCCCTCATTTGGACGTTTCAAGGCTAAGGAGAGGATGAAGGGAAGTTAGGTGGGCTTGGCGGGCGAACTCGAAGTGAAAGTTTGCCCGATGGTCGTTCGCATATTTTCGCCAATGTGTGCTTTAGTCCGATTCCACCCCCCGTTCTCTCTCGACTCCCCTCGCCGCAAGAAATGTAGTATGTGTCGTTGTTTGCTGTTGTCTGGTAAGTCGGTTAGTGCAGTCGATGCTGCATCTAGAAGCGCCGCTGTATCTGGAAACAAGCAGTAGTGTCTCCGAGGGCGGGTGCCTTCATTTCAGTTTTGTACTACCACCGTACCAAGGGATCCTCAGTTTCCTTCCCTCAAGCGGTCTCATGGCATACAGCCGCCGTGGCTAGCGGTGCCGCCTGCATGCGCGAAACTCACCACCAACCCAAGGGCGCGACTTGCCCGCCACGACGTCTCTTTCCCCCAACGCAATTGCTGCCCTCGGAGCTATCCAAACACACCCTCAACCCAATTTCTGCGAACGCGGCTACTACCCAAAACCACCGATGAAACCTCTCTCCCCCCCAAAGAAATCGCTGCCAACCACGCTCTATCCAACGAGACCGATGCAACCTCTCTCCCCCCCCTAAGCCAATGGCTGTCCAATCGGGCATTATATTAACACCACCGATAAAAGCTCTTTCTTTCCCCCAACGCACTTGCTGCTACAACCGCGCATCCTACATTCACCACCTTGTTAGGGCCGGTGGGAGGACGCTCTGGCCATCCTGATGGCCATGGTCTCGGGAGGCATCTCTCCGAACGTGTACACGGTCTGCTCCGCGCTCAGAGCTTGCTGCATCGGACACTCGCCACAGAGGTACTAACTTTTTCCTTTTTTTTATCACATTTTTGTTGTTGTTGTGAGTTTTTGTTTATTATAGAGAACATTACTTGAGAACATTTTTTAATTTTTTCAGGGGGGATAATCACGTATACGCCAAGTCCGTAGACCAGTGACCTCGCATCCCTACGGCGCTGGGACGGAGCACGTTGGGTTCTCACGGAGCGCCGTGAGGTATTGTGTTCCAGGGGGTATCCTCATGTACATGCATGCCGTAGTCGCTAGTCCATTGACCTCGTACCGCCGGGACGGAGCGATAAGCCAGGCCTTCGTCGGCCCAGGCTCGCACGTCACCAAGCGCAAAGTGCCCTGAATTATTCTAGCGGGAACAGTAATGTAAACGCATGCCCTAGTCGTTAAACAATTGTCCTCGCATCTCTGGGACGGAGCGATATGCCTTCCGGGTTTTCGCCGGCCCAGGTTAGGTCTCACAAGGATGACCCAGAAGCTGGTAGTGTCATCCAACCTTGCGTGTAACGGGGGGATACTCAAGTTCGCTGATTCCGTTCGGGGGCATGTTTTTCATCTCATGAACACATAACCCGATTTTTTTTTCCTGCGACCCGTGAGCTGTGCGGATTCTACTGTCCGCATGATTCTTTGCTGTTGTTCTCGCCTTGGGCACAGCACGCACTCTAGTAAAAAAACGCACGAGTGGCGAGGAAACCAGATTGACGTCAAGGTATCTGCGTCGTGTTGGGGGCTCCGGAAGCCCCCCCCCCTCTCCCCCCCCGGATGAGATGTTGTACGAAATGATGTCTGACACCGCGAGGGGCGTTAAATTGACGGACCGGAGTTTCGAAAGGTTCATAGAAGTGAGTTATTTGTTCTTCTGGCGAGTGAACTTGAGTGAGGACATATATGGTACAGATGTAGCGAAGATCGCCGCGTGTAACCCGGGCACCAGTGTTCGATCTGATCTGTAGCGCATGGGAAGAGCGCGCAACAGCGGCTATAGTAACTGGACTGTTCCGGCCGGGAGCAAGAAGAGACTCCTTGCAGGAGAACTGAGCCCACCGGTTCCAGTTGTGGGCCACAATTTGGACACCAAGTTTTGCCGAGTTTTGTATCGCTGCGTGCTCGGCAGGAGGCCTCAACCAGTCTGTGGCCTGAACTATCGTAAGGTGGCTGCTGTGCTGGACGAGCGATACCCGCGTTATTTGATATGTTTGCAGCGCCGACGAAGTTTTGGTGGCATTTGTTAAATTGATTAGGTTTCCGTTTTCGACTCTTGACTACCGATTCTCTCCCTCTCTCTGTTTGCACTGCCTTTTCCACTCTTTCATTCCCTCGTTCACTCTCATGCTCTTTCCCGCTCCCCCTCTCTCATTCACTCTCGCTTTCACTCTCTTTTCTGTCTTTCATTCTCCGTTTCACCCTTGATCTTTGATTATCTCTCTCTCTACGAAACATGGACACGTGCACAAGGGCTGTGGTTCTTCTGAAGGAGCTCCGTGGAATCATGGGCACCGCGCTCGGTCTTCCCGTGTACAACACGCTAGTCTGCTCTTTTCATAGGTGACACAAGTTTTTAAAGGCACAACTAGACGAGAACGCTTGTTGTTGTTTTGTGAGCGTGGTCGTTGTGGTTGATGTCGTTGGGTTGTTGCCCAGCTTAATACCTGGCCTGCCATAGTACCCTCCAAAGCACTTTCGTCGCGGCAGGTCCTGTCCCAACCTACGAAGTATGCTACAAGTTGAACAGAAAATATTCTGCAGTGTTTGCGCCGTGCGATTCGCCCTTCGAGGTGTGTTTATCCGAAACCTTTTGGCGCACTTCTCGAACTCGCGTGATATCTGGGTATCTACGATAGACCATTGTGCGCTTTTGCCCGACAACAACCATTTTTGCGTTGTGTTTTCGCAATAGTTGGCACTCACCATTTCTCGTTGTTGATTTGCTTCGATATCGTTTCCGTCTCTTGCTTTGTCATGGGTTTTGTTGATGTCGTTGTTGTTGTTGTTGTTGTTGTTGTTTGTTGTTGTTGTTGCTGTTGTTGTCGTTTCTGTCTCTTTCTTACTTTAAGTATTATTTTTTTTTCTGCGTTTTCTCTTTGTTTTCTTTCAGGGATGGGCGCTACGATCTCGCGGATTTCTTCTACAAGGAAGCCTACCGGGAAGGCGCCGTTTCTCACTGGCAGCAGCAGCAGCAGCAGCAGCAGCAGCCAGAACAACAGCGACAGCGCGAACAATCGCCTCCACCGCCGGCAGTACCGGAGCCTGATGGGGCGGGGATGAGGGGTGTTGGCGTCCCCGGGAGGGGACCGGAGGATTGTGTCCCCGGGGTGAAGGCGGGGGTGATGGACCTCCACGGACACAGCCTACCGCTAGCACATGCCGCCGTCAGGTAAAGCGTGTTTTCGATGTGTCCTTGCATGCACTCGACGATACTACGGTAGGAATACCATCCGCTTTGTTGTGGTGCTATGTTGTGTGTGTTTGGTTTCGTCCGAGGCTTTTCTTGCGAGGTTCCGCTGCTGTCGGGAACATGTGTTGCCGTTTTGTGCTTGCATGCCTTCGAATGATACTATAGGAACATTCCTATGCCATCTTGTAGTTATTATTTCTTCTAGCCGGAAGCTTTTTGTGCGAAGTACCACTGTCAGTTTTTTTTTTTTTTTTTGCTTCGTCATTGCGTGCCCTGGTACACTGTACAGATGCCATCCGTCTTCTGCTTGATGTTTTTTGTTTTCAGTCGGAGGCATGTTTCGAGTTCCTGTAGTCAGGTCATTGTTTTTTTCGTTTTGTCCTTGCTGGCACTCTATGATGAATCTATGGTTCGAAAGGAGGAATTCCATCCGCCTTGTGATACTTTAAGAGGAAAACCATCGGCCTTGTTGTCTGTTTTGTGTTGTTTCTTTTGTCGAAGTTTTTTTTTCCAGGTACAGCCGTGAGACTGGCGTCTGTTCGTCGAAAAGAGGGCGGTTGATGCTCGTAGTCGAAAACACACACACACACAAACACACACACACACACACACACACACACCGATGCTAGGCGAATGTTGTTTTCGACCCTCGTCTGTCTGTCTATCTGTCTGTCTGTCTATCTGTCCTTTTCAGGTGCGCTCTGGTTGAGGTGTGGCGGTTTTCCCAGAGAGAGGGAACGGCGTTGGGCGACCTGACCATCATCACCGGAATGGGGCGGGGGAGCCTCCACGCCTTCCAGCCAATCGTGAGTCGTGCGTTTTTTTTCCTTTATTCCATCCGTACGCAATCCACACGTTCGCCGTCGACTTCTTCCATCCGAGCACGAGTGTTTTGCCATTGAGTCCTGGCCCTTGTCCCACAGCTTGTCGTGACTCTTTTTCCTTCATCGCTTCCGTTGTCACCGTCAACCCACGATGTTTACCCGCCTCGTGGTACTTTCTTGATCCGTGTCGAGCCAACCCGCCCGTCTCGCCCAAACGTGCGTGGTGGTGTGTGTTCCACAGATTCGGCCAGAGGTTCAGCGAATGCTGACGGACGAGTTCTACCCCCCGCTAGACTCAGCCACAGAGGTAACTTCGCGTGTGTTTGGACAATGTTCTCGCCTAGTTTTATTTTGGTTGTTATTGATGGTGCTGTAGCTGTTGTTGTCGTTGTTGTTGACTTCACGCTATGTACCGTTCGGACCTTTCGACCCAGTACGTTGTTCTGTCCGTAGTAGTCTAACACTTGGCGCGGTCGATTCCCATAGTCACAGGCTAACTAACCCAAAAATGCTAATATAAGATGGATTCGAAGAGTCCGCAGGTCAATCGAAATCGACGATGTTGGTGTTGATTGTTTTTGTTGGAGTTGTCGTCGTTGAAGTCCTCGTCGTTGTCGGCGATGTCCTTGTTGACTCTTGCGAGCTGGGCGATGAATTTCGCAACTCTTGTTACCTCTGGCCCATGCCCCACGAAGCAGAAACAGGTTCCTCGATGTTACAGTACGCCTCACGCCGTTCTCGATCAAGACGAAAAATACTTCACCATGCCTGTTCTCCCTCACGACCCGTTCTCGATCAAGAAGAAAAATACGTTCACCATGCCTGTTCCCCCTCAAAGCAACAAGCATAAACCCGCCCTTGTGTCCGTATCACAGGTGGGAAACACGGGACGCGTCGTAGTCTCGGCCAAGACAATCGAGGCCTGGCTCGACCACAACGTCGAGGCAAAGCGGCCGGTCATGGCGAGGCTCGCGGCCGCTCTCCAGAAGAAGGCTTCGGTTGCGGCAGCGGCGGCGGAGGAGCTGAGGCACGAAGCAGCGGGTGCCGTGGATGCGGGCGCGCCGCTACCGCAGGAGACGCAGTTTGGACCGTCGAAGCGCCAGTTGGAACCGCAACAGCAGCAGCCGCAGCCACAGCAGCAGCAGCCGCAGCAGCCGCAGCAGCAGTTGACCCCCCCGGATTTGCTAGAGCCGCAGGCGTCGCCGCCGTCCTCGCTGTCGGGGGCCATGCCAGCACCGGCACAGCCATCGGCACCGTCGTTGACGAAGACGGATCAAGGTGGCAGCGGCGATGTGCCCGGTCATGAGGCAGGGGAGAGGGGCGGAGGAGGTTCCGCGGCGAATGATCGAGGCGTTCTACACTCCTCGGAGCATGGGGGGCGTAGGGAATCCGGGGAAGCGAGGCCGGAGACGGCATCCACCACAACGAAGCCTACGCCGACTTCTACCAGATCTACGGTTCCGAGAGAACTCCGATCGGCCGTCCCTAAGGGTGGTAGGATTCGCAACGGTGGCAATAGCAGCAGCAGCAGCAGCAGCAGCAACAGCGACGGCGGTGGTAGCGGTTGCGCTGCCAACGGGGCAACAGGCCGCGGTGGTGCTGACGGTGGTGCTGCCCGCGATGGGGTAAGTAGAGAAAGCAGCAACAAGAGCAGCAACAGCAGCGGCAGCAGCCGCAGCGGTGTTACAGACGGCGTTGTCGCCCCGAGCAGGATAGTCATGCCGTCCGGGCGCGGTGTGCGTGCGGCGGGAACGCGCGCTTCCCCCGAGAGCGGACGCCCGCGGAGAAGAAGGAGCATGGCACAAGCCGAAGCCGGCGCTGCTGGTGTGGAGGGGGGGGGGAAGGGTAGCCAACCCTAGATAGGGAACGCTAGGAGCGGGGGAAGTTCGCACAGGTTTCCTATGGGGTCGGCGGTGTTGCTGGATTCATGATTGGCAAAGAAATAGTTGGCCGGTGGGTGGAGGCGAAAGCCGGACGGCAATGCTGGCGTTATTTTGTCCACACCTCCATGCGTTGTGCGCGTGCGTGGTTGTGCGTTTTTTTTTTTTGCGCCTTTTGGTGTTGGCTGTTCTCCGGTTGATTGCAAGAGCCTGCAGTTCAGTCGGTTCCTTCTGCCGATTATTGCAGTACGATTGTATCTCCGTGGGCGTGTAACGTTTGCATATCATTCGAAATTCTGCTACCATTTGTTCGTCGAGAGTTCCGTAAATTGCGGGTGCCGCACTGATAAAAGTCTTCCGATGAAAGGATCCATCCTGAGCGGTAAATCGAGAGCAGCAGTCAGATCAATGGTGCTCGCCGAGTTGGTGGCAATGACACCCGTTCCCCGATGTTTGTTCTCTTGCGTTTTCGTTCGTTACACTCGAATATTGGACTGCTTTTGCTCGTACCACCCCCCCCCCATATCAGGGGGAGACAAGGAGTGTGTTGTGCAGCTCCTCATTGGCTTCTCGTGTGCGGATAACTCGGGTGTATATAGGGACCCTGCTGAATAATTTCTTACCGTGAACGATCCGTTTTTTTTCTATTCCCTCTTCGGTAATTTTTGTTCCAAGTATGCATGCCGGAGTATTTGCAAGGGGGGCGAAGTATTTGGGTCTGTGGTGGGGGGCATCAGCCTCCTCGGGAACGAGTGACACTCGGCAAAGGTTTGGATAGCGGTAAGGGCACCTCGGGGGTTGAGTGTGTAAGGAGTGGAGATGTCGATTTATGGTTGCCATTGTGTTCGTGAAGTCGTTGCTCCGGGGCGTGTCGTTTCGTTCACCCCCTTCGCTTCTCCTGACCTTTGGTTCTTTCTGGCTGGAGTACCGTGGCGTAACGGTACGTCCGAACACCCGGTTCCGATGTAAAAAGATACCGCGGGGGGCGAAAACAATATCGGCAATCTCGCGTGGCAATATCCGGATGGTTGTCCGATGGTTGTGCAATTCTGGCCAAGTAGTGCTTCCCGGTGAAGATTCGCTCGTGTCGCAAGGAATTGCGATTTAGTCCGTGGTTCTGTCGCTGTCTGGTTGGGTGGTGAGTACCCCGATGAGGCCAGAAACCTGGCGCATGAAATCGTTTGTTCTCCCGTCACTCAAGGCTTGCGAACCAGGCGAAGACAGTTTTGTGCGAGAACCGGTCAACGACGACTGGAATTTACGCGTCATATGTTCTGCAGATGGCCCTGGTGCGATTTTCCACCCGTGCTGCGGAAAATGGATGTGTTCAGCTTCCATGGAAGTCCAGTCGAACATTTCCGTGAACGTTGTTTTGGCTTCCATGAACGTCACGCTCAACTCCGTGATAATGGTGCAGACGGACACGCGTCGTAGAGGTATTTGCAATCCACTAAAACGTCACCGGTCACCATATCTGGGCCGTTTTCCGCCAACAACGGCGGTGGGGAAGCGGCGGCTTTGCGAAATGCGGCAGAGGCAATGTGCAACACCTGCTTCGAGTGGTCCGTGGGTGTGTTCGCTGGCACATTCAACGGAACACGTGCGTCCTGAAAGGAAGAATCATCGGCTGGAGGTTCCTCACCCATGGGCACAATTTCACGGATGGTGGGACACTTGGGGGCAGGTAGCCCCGAGCGTTCAGGGCGCAAGGGTTCGTCGGGTTCGACCAGGCGCACACGCAGAAGCGTGCGCCTCGCAACAAGTACTTTGCCCAAGAGGTTCTGACCAAGCCATTGAGAGGGGGACGCCGCACTCGGATGAAGGCATCCACACCAATGCCCCAAAATCCGTCAAAATGACTAGCCTCCGTAATCTGTCTGTCTCCCGTGGCCGACAAACGTTCGCGCGCGTCAGCAATTTGAGCGAATTTTGCATACAACAGCTCGAAAAGACAACATCGTCGCGTCTAAGCTCCCATAGCGCTTGGTCAACACCGCATACCATGCGACCAAGGGACTTGTGTTCTCTCGGGGTCGGAGGTAGCCATGATTTTGGCATGAGCAACATCATCGCCGAAAATGCGGGCTTCTTCCGCCATCATGAACTGTTCACCACACACGTAACGAATGCCGTGGACCGAGAACGCACTGGGCGTCCAAACGTTTAGGACGTCTGCTACCATAAGGAGTGAATGTAGTCGAAATATTGCAATATAGTCGATATTTATTAAATGTCCATTACACGCCGAGCCGAAAACACAGTACAATATTGAACTGACCTCACAGACCCACAAAATCTCCCCCCCGCCCCGCCCAAATTTCACTGTTCCCTCCGAACACCATCATAGAGACGAAAACATTGTCTTCCGAGGCACTCACATCACACGGACGCCACGAGTTAATCAAGAAGTGCCTAGGGGGTTGTTTGTCTCGAGAACGATAAAAACTGCACTACGAACTTAGATGTTGCGGATATCGGCAGCCCTGGCAGCTGAATGGCTTGAACACCCACCCCAAACAGTGGCCACAAGATCTGGTTCGACCCAACATCAGCCATGTTCGTCAACCTACTCGATGGGCAACTTACACCTAGGTTGCAGAAGCCGATCTAGAAAAAAACGCTTGGGGTCATATCCACCTCGCGGTGGGCAACCGGGAGCAGGTCAGAGGCAGAACTCCTTTCAAACGGATCTGAAAAACCTCCTGCGGCAACGGAATGGCCTGACCTGGTACTCCTACAAGGCGACAGAAGACAAACCGATGGGTGCACAGCTTTTCTTTCGCACTTCCTGTCTTCTGCGCTCGAGCTCTGGGCGATATCTACACTTCCAAAATTGTTGTTGGCAATGCTCCCCATCGCACAAGAATTTTGCACGGCGCGAGGTTCAACACCCAACTGAAACAACCGCTGAAACTCATGAGGGGTCTCACCCACGTTTCCCTGGAATTGAAAGCTTGATCCACACGTGGTCATTCTGCAATGAAAATCATCGAACGAGCGTATTTTCGCCGCCAAGCGTTTCGGTCCTTTTGTATGGTCGGCGTCTGTTGATCCCACGATGTTGTTGTGCTCGTTGGTTGCGCTACGTCCCTCTAGTCCAACGAAGCCGCCGGGGTAATTCATTGCTGCCGCTGGATCTGCTGCTGACGAGCACAATCGGTCGAACGTTGCCAATCTTTGTTGTCTACCAGTCATGGGGTTTCCTCTGCTACAATCTGGTGACGTGGCTAACTCGTCGCTCGGGATTGCTCCAACGACATTGGCAAAGGCGGTTGACTTTATTGTCCCTCCCTTCGAGCATGGCCTAGCTGCTGCATAGGATGCGAACGAAGTACCCTCGGGTTGCTGCGGGCGGCCATTACAGGCATATTGCCTCCTGTCAACGGACGCAGTAAAAGCGGCATCAGCGCCACCGATGTCAGCTTGTCGTGAAGGGTTGTGGCCGCTGGTCCCTAGAATGCAACCCCAAGAGGTCGCACACCCACAAGGTCCACAACCAACATCCTCATCGTGCGGCGTTTGGCTTCCTCCCCAGATGCTCCTAGAATTTCCTGCTACTGTGGAATCCCGGGCGGTAGGGTCCCACTCAAGCCATTTCTCGGTCTCGGAAACGGCTTTTTCACCCACACGCGAGTTTCCCAGAACCAGGTCCAAACCATCCTCCCTCTGATCGGAATGGTGAACTCCTTGCTCTGGACCTGGAAGCAACACCTCCTTCTTTGGATGCTTGGGTTCTTTGATTGGAGTGCCACCTAATCGGTCACAAGTTGCCTCGTCGTCCCCATCGTCCTTATCTGTGCAGTCAACGAGGGCCGGCGCTGCCACGCCAAGGTACTTTGTCCTGCACGGAACTCGCGTTTCCCCGGCCAAGAGCAAGTCCATTCCATAGCCGTTTCTGCCCGAGGCTAACGGACAGGAACTCGTGATACTGAATTCTCTTTCCGCGCTGCAGACGATTCTCTTGCCGTCCTTGTTCTCCGAGAATGCCGAAACAATCTCATCGACCGCCCGCGCTCCCCCAGCCGGTGTCACCGACTGTCTTTCCAGTCGTGCTGCGGCATCTTCCTTCGCAACAACGATTTCGCCGCAGGTCTTCATGACCTGAGTCCCCCCCGACCGCGGCGAAGTCGAGATTGTAGCCACGGTTCTAGCTGTTGCGGTGGAATACTGTTCAAGTGGGGACGTCTTTGCGATGACCCCACCCGCAGATGAACTGTTGCCGGGCCGTCGCATAGAGGAAGGGAGGCCCGCGAGTGAGGCGTTTCTAGTGGGTACCGGAGCAGAAATTCTTCGCTCCGTCCTTGTTCCGGTTGGTCTTGTTCCCCCCTTAGACACCTTGGGTGTGTTGTCTACCGGGCTGATATGGGCGGGCAACGGAATCGGTTGAGGTTCCACTCGCCCAAGCCTGTCAGTCCCGGGCGGTCCAACACCGGCAGCCTTCACCGCCGAGGCAGGATTAATCGCGCCGATTTTCTCAACGTTGACAGGATTGGTCAGGTTGTCGGCGCTGGTCTTGAAAGTCTTGAGTCTGGAAGGATGGGCGCCCTTCTCTGGCAATATCGGTTCCGCGAACTTGGTCTTGAGCTTTCGGTCACTCCGAAGAAGGTTGCTGCCCTCGTTCGGCCAACCGGGAGAGGGTGGAGGGGGGCTTCGGTGAGGCGCCGGGGCGGTTGTCTCGGCGGGGGTTCTCCCTTGTTGATAGTGCCCTTGTTGTCCTTGCTGCCGCCGCCGCGGCCGTTGCTGTTGTGGTTGTTGTTCTTGCTCTTGCTCTTGTGGTGGTGGTGGTGGTGGTGGTGGTGGTGGTGGTTTTTGTCGTGGTCGGAGCGCCCGGTGGGAACGAAGGTGGCCATACCTCTTGTACACGTCATCGATAAGACCCCACGTCGCCTGCTTGGCGCAGATGGCGCGTTTTTGGGATTGGGTGGAAATATCAAAGTGCGGAGAGTCGAAATGGGGCAGAAATTACGCTATACCCTCCGTCGGCAAAGCGCGTCCCTGTTTGTAGACAGCACAAAAACTGGTTGAAAGGCTACAGACAAAACATGGACTGGGCGCTCTGGGCACCCGACCTGCGTGATGTGGAGTTGAGTTTTGCTCCGTCGGCCGTGCAAAACTCACCGTGGTCCTTGACGCTTGCGGTAACGGTATGTGCGCAGCCAGAAGGGTGGGTCGTCCCTTTCACCGAGTGCTAACGACATTTCTGTTAACGGTGTATAGAGGTCTGGAGGCGATGGAGATTTTGTTCTCCAACGTGCCGAGAGAAAAGAGGGCGGCAGAGGCTTGCCGACCTACCCACAGGTATGCTATGGAGGCTGAGGAAAAATTGGCATCCGAAAATCCTGCTTAGGACACCCTAGAGATCGCGACGAATACGAAACGCGAGGCAAGGACCGCAAACGTTCCTGAGTAGATGAGGAACGTCAATCGCATCAAAGCATTGCTTGCCACGCTGAGCCCCCGCCAAACGAAGTTACCTACAACGCCTTCAAAAAAAGAGTGATGTTGCTTTGTGATACTAGAGGCAAATACCTCGTGAACCCCTTCGAGTATTTCCGCCTCGCCACGCAGCCACGTTCCACCAATGCCACCTAGAGCGGCAAACGCCGATAGAGCCGTGCGAACATTGTGCTTCGCCCTAGCGGCATTTGCTGGCGCCCCACACGTTCCCTTTAAGACGAAGCGCCCCGGGCACGAGGGTATCTCCGACAGCGGCAAACCCCGCCCGCCTGATTTCAGCGCAATGCGGGGACCACGATGAAAGTACCCAGGGAAGGGACATGTAGGGTGAGACCGCTGTAGAAGTAACTTTTTACCACGTGGAATCGTTTTTGAGGTGAATCGGCGAATGTTGTACCCTTTTCACTTGAGTAGGTGGCGGCTTGAGTCTTGTCCATCCCGGTCATACCGAAACAATGGGAACGGATGGGACGAACCTCGAAGCATGTACAACCAAGAGGCAAGAGTAGTGGAATAATGATATTCCAGGAATGATATTCCAGTCTGTGCGACGAATACCGGGCGCAAAGTGCAGTGTGGTCGAAGATCACGACCAGCTCCCATGCGTCGTCTACCCCGGAAACCCTTGTCATCATGTCGTTGGCACACGTGTATACCTTCGCGGAGGAGATTTCAAGTTCACCTGTTCACTCAAACAAGAAGTTGTCGCCCTGAATGAACAGTCCATTCACGCGTAAGCTCCTTCTACTACCGGCCGACATCATCACGTAAAGAACCATTTCATAAGGATTATTCACCCGATGCAGCGTAGTCGACGGCCGCAGCCAGTTCGCACAAAATTTCTCCGCTGGAGAATCGTTGGTGGCAGCGAGGTCCTTCTGCCGTTAACAAAGACCAATCGACCTGCTCCAAAGTTGTGAAAGCCCGTGGGGTCCGTGGAGGCGGGTAAGTAGGGGGAAGCACGCCGTTCAAATTCGAACACCACATGCAAAAATAAAAGGAGCTATTCAGAGATCCCTGGCGCCAGAGCACGAGACAAACACCCTTAGATCGCCTTATCAAACTCCCGGTGAATACCGAGAACACCCAGCACAGCACCTCGTGAAACGGAGCATCCTTTGGTATCAATGTCATGGCTCTTTCACGGATGCTGCATTGTAGGCACGGGGGGATTGCGTGCAACATGACTTTTCAACCTACTGTAGTGCCGAGGACGAGACTGATATTTCGATTCGTTTTGGATTTCGTCCGCCTTACCTACCTTGATTCGAAGTGGTTCATCGAGCGAAAAGTATCCTTTCCGACACAAAAAAACACATTTCATGAGTCAAAAGCAAATTTTGCGAAAACGGGCCAAACGACACGTGTAATGTTCCGGGTTACCAGGTCATGAGGCCAGGATCAATACTAGTGTCGTCAATATTCTGTCTCAACTGGCGGCAATGACAGCGTTGTTCTCAGGCTGAACGGCGGTTATCTCACACGCCAAACGTATACTCAAAACCAAAACCATTCCCTTCTGCCTTTCACCCAGGGCTGGCTCTGAGCAGCGTAAATATCCTTTATTTTGGACGCTTGGATTATCTACGGTCGAGTGGTTCATGTGTTGAGCCGCACCTTAACCCCTAGGCGATCCATCCACCGCAAGATATCTCTTCGGTCCGCTCGTCTCTTGCCGGCCTCCGCGGTGCCCGCACAAGTCTGACCGTTACGAGGCAGGGGGTTCGGCATCTCCTTTTCGCCGCCCCGAGGACGAGCACCAACTTCACCACGTTCCGTGGTTCGTGAAAGTGGTCCAACCTCGCTGGTTCCCGCCCTTGTTCGTACAGCGGTTGCTGTTTCTCTCTTCGTTCCCACAGAAGTTGCAGGCGGATGAGCAGCGGTAGCGGTAACTGCAACAGCGGCATCCCGTCTCAAGTTTGGAGACACAGGGACCCGAACCCCTGACCGTGCTGCCGACGATGTATCCCTCGTCTGTTTTTTCGTCGTTCCAGCGGCAACATCAGCAAAGGGCGGAGGAGGAGCACCACCGGGAGCCGAGGCAATGACAGCGGGAGAGGGTCGCTTCGTCTTTGCAACTGGTCCTCGATCGTCGTCCTTTCTGCCCAACCTACATGTTCCTGGATAGCCCCCGGCACGACGCTTTTGCAGCCCAGACGCGGTCACGGACGGCCCGGAAAACCCTCCCGAAGGCAGCGGCGGTTGCGGAGGTGGCGGCCATGAGCGATCCGTGGTGGCTGAACGCCCCTGCGTTGTGCAGTGAACCCCGTTTGGGGTGTACGCGTGATGATTTCGAGTTGGGCGCTCTATGCGACGGTTACTCGTTGTCGCTCGACCGATGGCGAGAGTCGAGTCACTAGCGTGTACTCTTCTTCTTGCAGCTGTAGTCCGCCCTGTTGGGAGGCACATGTTTTCGGACCCGACCTTGTTGAGGTCGCCTTTGGTAGTCTCGTCCAAGGCGTTGCCAAGAATCCCGTTGCCTTCTTCGTTGATGACCCTGGCGTTTCTGCCGCGTTTGGGGCAATTGAAATTCGTGCTACCGCTGCTCCGGCTGTGCCTGACATCCTCAGCGATCGTTCTGTTTTTTCCGGCGCCATTGTTGAGCTCGTTAAGCCTCTTCAGAAACGCTACGAGTTCGCCGCAGGCGCTTGCTTCCCCTCGGCATACCCGAAGCGGAAACGTCGGCTGTACGGGATCAAACGCGGATGGCAGTTGCAGACGCATGGCCACAGATCATGATTGTGAAGTGGGCGGTTTGGCGAACGGGCGGGGGGCACTCAGCATGGTATTCATTTTTGGAGATGCAGAAAGGGGTAGGATGCATCATCGTGACCAGTAGGTATGGCCCGTGCTCATTTTCTCCTCCTTTCCCTTTCCGAAAGTGACACAAGATAGCACAGACCGGTGACAAGATTGTAGAGTATGAAAAACTATCACCGGGTGTGCAGTGCTATCTTGCGTTACCGGTGTGAAAAAGTGCACGTTGACGGAGCCCACAATCTGGGGTGTGTGGTAAAAGAAGGGTGTGATTAACAAGGGTGTGTGACAAAAAATTGCCAACAAACGTCGCTCCCCTATTTCTTGAAGGGGGTGAAACAAATGAAGGGTGAATAATACCGAGCTTGCCAACCAATGCTAGGTTCCCACATTCCTTGAAGGGATGTGATACACCAAGGGGGTGTGGATGACTCGGGGTTAGTGGGTACTGCGCTTCTGCGGGTTTCGTAGAGTTGGTTGTGCGGGCTTTGGCAGCACGTGTGGCAGCAGATGCTGGTGGAGTCTCATTACCTGGCTTGGCGGCAGGTTGTTTCGAGAAAAATGACGTGATACCCTGTGGCGGTGCCGGCGCAGACTCTGCTGTTGCCGTCTGAACCACGTTAGCTTTTCAGCGGAGATATTTCCAGCAGGTTGTCTACCTTCTCCACATCCTTCGTGTTGTCCATATTCGTGCGCATTCCAATTGCGTGCGGCTACTTGTGTGGGTGCACGTCGAGGCGCCCCGCCAGTCCCACCAGGTGTGATAACGGGGGCTCCATGATCCAAATGCCCCGCAAATAGGGTGTGTGCTATTTGGTGTCAGAGGTGTTCATAAATTTACCCTCCTCTCTGTGTCCAAACACTATTACCGGGTGTGCTTTCGTGGAGTCGTGTTTTGGGGGGGTTCTGTCTTCTGCGGGTGTGTTATCGTTTGTCACTTTCGGTGCCCGAACTAGCTCCTGTTCGACAGGGTTTTCTAATAAGCATTTTTTGCCAACGCGATTTTGTTTGTGGTGCAGAGGTGAACGTCGGGCGCGGCGGGTACACCATTCATCGTTAAAGTGTGTGTAGTGTCACAAACATTACCTTCGACGAGATGAATCACCGAGCTTGCTCCAAGCAAATCGCCACGGAAGTGCTACTTGAAACATTGAAACATTACCTATTCTCGTCTTGATCTTAATCATGTTGTCTTTGGATCAACAATGTGCAACACAGAGCACGTCTTGTCCTTGCTTGTCCCTGAAAAACTCTCCAAATCATGCACCCTTGCCTATTTGCGCATTAAGAGGCGTCACAATCCTCTTCAACCCTGAAGCAACAGTGTACCCTGACAAGGGTAGGTTGAGCGTGTCTAGTCGAAAACAGCTCATCCTACCGCTTGTGCATGAATAAAATTCACCTGAAGGAGTCTCTGCGGCACCGCGCATGTGCCTCTCCTTTTCTCAACGGCTGCCAAGGCTTTTCGCAGACGGCCGGTCGCCCCGATGTTGTCCGAACATGCGGAAGAATATCCCTACATGTGAATTCAACAGGCACCAGTCAGAACGAGTCGCGATGAGAAAAGGAAAAGGCGATCCACAACCTTTTGAAAAAAGAATTTGCTCGGACATTCGATTTGCGGCGACGTAATCTCGGTAGTGAGATCCTGGCCAGCAAGATAAGGGTATCTGCGGCTTGTTCAAGGTCGTAGCGAAAACCAAAACTTGAGAAGAAAATGAAACGGTTAAGGATCGACCAACATAGCGAAAACGCTGAACGGGGCCCCGCCTACAGGTAGGTGGCGTCGAACCACGGGGGTGACACCGGGAAACGTGCTTTCGGATTCTGGGGTTCCGCAAAAGGTCTAGCCTCACGAAGATGACGCCTCGAACGCTTGTCGGGGTTACAACCGCTTGCTAGGCGCGGGGTGCGACGAGCTGGGATTGTCACGTGGAGATGCACGAACACACATCCCAGTTTCGAATAATCAAGGCGGTGCGCACCGCGGCATCGTGCAACCACCCCGGATTGGTTAAACAGTTTCAGTTTCTCAACGATATAGCGTTCGTTCCTTGGGGTCACGATTCAAGATTTCACTCGGCCCTCGATCAATTCCTACCTGCTGAAGATTCGGTCGGCAGGTACAGTTGATCCCTTGCGTACACATCCTAAAGAATACACCCTGATGCTCGGAATAAAATGGCGGGCGCTTTGACTGATTCCCTTCACCAATCTCGCCACATTTTTGCCTACCTCGATGAGGAGGAAGGCCTCTTCCACGGCGACTCCATCCGCGAGGTCGCCGTAAGAGTCCACCAGCAAACACGCGTGTCCCCCCTCCAAGGAGTTCAGCCAGTAAACATCCCCGGCTGCTACCCAAAATGTCGCAGACAGCAACACCAAAAGGCTAAGAGCGAAAACAACGCGAACAAAAAGTAATTTGAAAACGTTTCCTTGCCAATTGTTTTACGTAGAATACGCATGGTAGGGAATGGCGGTAATCCAACCGTGCCCGCCAATCTGGTCGCTGCACCGCTATGAAAAATTACCAGGCGGGACGTTATACCCTTCGTATTCTACGCAAAGACTACGTGGGAATCCGCTACGAAAAGCTTACCACCTGTTTGCTTCAGTATCGAGTATTTATCGACTTCAAAAGCACAAACTCTGGGAGATATCTCCACAGCAAAGTCGCCGAGGAGTGGGGTATGGAGGAGGGAATCAAGCACAACCCGGGTGTCACGGCTGCTCGAAGAAACAGAAGCGACCAGTATCACACTGACAGCTGAAACAAACGTGTGAGACGCATTGAACCTTATCCTCAATATGCATGCCACTGGGGAAACCGAGAGAAAAATTGTGAACAATAGCTTCGGGTCAACAAAAACGAAATGGTTGCCTCCCGTCGCGCGCAGAACTGACACACATGTAGAGAGGGAAACGTCCGACACTCTCCAAATCTCTCCAGCCCTAAGCTAGCCTCCTTCTCCTACTCGATGCATGGGCTACCAGTAGAAGTACAGCGTCGACAGTCAAGCACCAGCAGCAATACCAGCATGGTGGGGGCATTTAAGAACTTGAGCAACACGAACAACAACCTCAGAAACACTTTCCAACACTCTCAACCCCCTTTCGGCTCTAACCTGCCCTCCTTCTCCTACTCGATGCATGAACTACCAGTAAAAGTACAGCGTCGACAGTCAAGCACCAGCAGCAATACCAGCATGGTGGGGCCATCAAAGTATTTGAGCAACAAACACGAACAACAACATCCAACACACAGCAGTATCTCACCTTCCCGTAGCTCCTCTGCCATGCAACTGCCTGGCAACGACGGCGTTTGTGGCAGCGGTATAGGTGGGTGCCTGGAAACTATGTAGCTCGGCAGCCACAGAGCAGTCTCCTCTTCAAAGTACCTGGCAAACGCATAGATAGGGAAAGAGGTGACTCCGAAGCGAAACAAACGCAGTTGGCCGGACCATTCTTTCCCCTCCGGACCACCTACTCCCTGAAGAAAGCGTCTTTTGCAGAATCTCCTCCTATAGTGCGTATGCCGGTGGTCCAGCTCTCCAAAAACCAATGTTTTTGACAGTGTTCGGCATTCCCTGAAATTGTGCAGCGTTATGAGACATCTGTCGCACGAGGTCGTTTCAGCGTTCTCTTGTCCCTGTTGATCTCTGGACTCCGAAATGTGCTCGATTTTTTTCCGATTGTTCGAAACCGTGGATATTTCATGGTGAAGATTATATGTAGCGACGAAATGAAGGGCAGGAGCACACCATGACCGAGGTGTAGATTAAAAAAAAAACTGTAAGAAGTAATCCGTACCTCCTTTTTTGGAGAAATGGCGACCAGCACAAATGCCTACACACTGCCTGCTTAAAACTGTTGTCGCCGCATCACCGCATCTGGCACCGGTTGGGAGTTGTCTCCACCAGAGCATGCACGCATTGTTGCCCGCACACCCTGCTGATACTAGCCTGAAAGAGAGTATAATTTTGGATTGCCTGGAGGTATAACTCTAAGTGCCCATCCCACACCAGGACTAGCTGTGTGCCCCCTTGAGAGGTTGAGGCTGCATCTTGGTCAGACCTTCCTCTTCTCTAGTTCAGACAATATCCCATTTGGACATTGTCGTGGATCAAGAGCACGTTCCATTATGATCTCCCTAGAACCAGGTCATAACTCTCAGCTTGTGCTCTCTACTACGCTCGAACCTATATTCTAAGCTCAAACTAGTAGCCCAAGGGGATGGTTCGGCAACAATGTCAACCTGTGAGTGTGGGGTAGGGGGGCTGGAGGGACGGGATCGGCCTTCAAAAGGACAGAATCGGCCTTGTGCACGTTCTTACTCTACGCTGCCACCGCGCCGTGTTTGTAGGACTAAATCCACTTTCCGGGATGCGGGGATATCTTGACAGGTCGGCGTGAAACCACCCCACCCCAGGCTGTAATCGATGCCCAACCTATCCACAACCTGGCCTCTGGCCACCGGTGACGACAAAACATGAAAAACAGTGGGATTCATGTAGGCAAGGTGTATTGGGCTTATGGAGTGTCGATCCCAAAAAGCTGTGGTTCATCAGTATCGGGACATCACGAACTTCACCATGCCTGCTGACACCCTCAGACCTCTGCGGCTGTGCTGTCGCGATGGTCGACGCTGCGGTCCGAAACAACCTCAAGTCTGCGTCCATCAGTCAACCCATCCAGCGATCTAACCTCAACTCCGGAACTGCGGTTCGACAACAGCAGCTCATACCACAATGTAAATGCAGACTTCGCATAAGGTAGCCACTTTGGACGATCCGGATTGCAGGGGATACATAGAGCGTGTGTGGTACATAGCAGCAAGTATAGCAGGGACAAACTATGGCTTGTGTCTGGATTGGGTGGAACATGCTTGCGATCACAGCACCAGCAGCGGATCTTACGTGCTTTGTACCCGTCGCCTGTGTTTGTTTGCTGACGATATACCATTTCAGGTTTAGGACTCGGAAGCCGGAAGGTTGGTAGACTGCAAAATGTACAGCATCATCAATCTTCTAGAAACTTGGATGTAGACTCTAGACCCCATGTACTGCCCTTGTCATCCATTCGCCCAAAGAACGAATAAACTTCATGGTAGTTTATGTACTGTAGTAGTGAGAGCTTGTGGGATTGTAGAGCTTCTTTCCCCCCGCTGGCATATATAACCAGCACACCCATATAGGATTAACTTGCTTGCTGAAGCAGATGCCAGTCCCCGGTAGTCATCAGGGGATAACCAAGCGTGTCAGCTCATCGACTGCTCTGTCACAACAGCTTCTCCCCGATACCACTCCTTCAAGAGACGGCTGACCTGTAGTGGTCTCTATACTGCCGCTGTGGTGGCGGGTACACAAGTTCGCAAGACAGGCTGGATTCGACCTACAACACAACGACGTTCTGTGGCGCTCAATCAAGATACGAAAAGAGAAGATGCGACAAAACACGGAATGGGGGCGTATCCACAAACCTCATTCGTCCCGCCAGAGGCAGCTAATAACTACAGCTGTAAACCGCGGGGGGGTTGGATCTACCGCGCACCTGTTTCGTTGCTGCTAACTTCGAACCATCCTCCCCCTCGAAACAAGCCTAAATCGAGCGACCCAGGAGCGCCGAAAATGCTTCTTTTGTTGCACCCAGCACGCACCGGCCTGCCAATATAAAGATCGCAGCGGGATTGTATTCACGTGCAAGGCGTGCAAAGGAAATGCCCTGTGGAGGTAGACACGAGCTTTCTATCTTTCTATGCCACGATGCGGCGGGTTCAGAATTCGAACCTCAGGGGACACGCAGGCTGCAGCAGGCCTGATTTTACACCGTTTGTGGGTTGAAGTGGGGAGTGTGTTGCGTCGTGTTGCTCGCACCTGCCAATCACCAGGTTCGTTTGTGACATGAGAGCAAGGGCGCGAATTCTCCTCCTGCTGCCACTTGTGTACGTGCCGACATCATGTCCATTTGTTATGCAGCTCATGCCGCCGCTGCGATCCAAGTGCAGATGCGAAGTACATGCAGCGGAGAGATCAGCAGCAGAACGAGGAGCAGAACGATCGACCATGGAGCTGGGACCGTTACCGCCTGGGTGAGGTTTTATCCTAGGATGATTGCTGCATTTTGTCAACACCCTTCATCCGAGGAAATCGAGCTTCAGATTTGAATGTTGCCTCGCAGCAATCGGGCTCTGTTCTGTAGATTCGTGAAATCTCAGTGGTAGTCCAGAAGCCTATTCTGTCTCATTCAGTCATGGGTCCGGGTTTGAATGGAGACAGTAATGGTATTCAGGAAGTACGTGCAAGGCGCAATGAAGTACGCTCATTCTCGACCCTGTCGCGTTCTGTCCAAACGGGCTGGTGCTGCACTGAACTGCTGTACTTGCTCTCCACAACGCTTCCATTCGGGAGTTACCGTGGGTGACTCAAGATACCACACCCCATGGAGCGATTTTCAAAGCTCGGTTTCACCTCGCAGCAGAAAGAGTAGCGCTGCCGAAAACAGCGGCGTTGAAGCCATCTTGTCGAGGGCTTTCCGACCAGGCATTATTTGTGCATTCTCTTCGTCGTGGAGAAATCTAGCTTTGAAAACAGTTCCAGGGGGTGCGGTATCTTGTGTCACCTACGGTACTTGGCGTGCCTCCTGGGGGCGACGCAAGAGCGTCCGACGTCATCGCGGTCGCATCGTTGCATCTCAACGTCATGACGTTCGGTAGTGCTGGTTTTGCGTGCATACAACCTGCAGAATTTGCCCGGAGTTTGAATCATGTGCGGGGTCTTTCTTTGCTCTCTGTGACTTTTCGGGTGTGCGTTAGTGTGTGTGTGCTGCTAGCGGCGTCTTTGCTGCGGGTCATACTGCTGTAATCCGCTGCGTTTGATCACCCCCTTCGTATGCATTCGTGTTGCGCATGGTCTGTGGGACTTGTGTGCGTTGCGCAGGAATCAAAACAAAAGTCTTCCTTAGGAAAGCTGTTTTTTGTATCTTGCTAAGGGTTTCTTTGTGCGGAACACGTCCGAGGGGGTATAGAGCCAGTTTTACCAACTTTGGGCGTCAAGCACAAGCGCCACGGTCCTCGGGCATGCGTGGTAATACACCGACGGCACCCCTGCGTGCCCCTGAGAAGGAAGCGTGAGACAAGACTCGCTTCCGCCAGCGAAAGATCTCTCGAAGCACGAAAAAAGGCGTGTGCGTTTACCATGGTCTCCTGAGATTCTCTCTCTCTCTCTCTCTCTCTCTCTCTCTCTCTCTCTCTCTCTCTCTCTCTCTCTCTCTCTCTCTCTCTCTCTCTCTCTCTCTCTCTCCTATATTAACCCCACGTGACAGCTACGGACCGCGAGCATCGACTAAAATCCAAGCGGTCCCAGTGTCACCGGTGACAACACCGGCGAATGAGCGGCTACCCGAATGCCTACAGAGCGACGCCGTTTCCCACATTCGAAACCCAACAACAGGGTCGGAGATCTGGCTGCTGGGGATTATTCACCAAGCGGAGCCTTATGTGCAGGTAAGCAAAGAACTAACTTGTACCTCCCAGCGATATGGCTATTTATAGTTAGATTGCTGGCAATGGTGCCAAGTACCTCGGCGTAAGAGCTATAGTATGCCACCAAGGTACGCAGTAGAGCTGCCTTCAATTTGCTCTGGAATTGTTTGGCGACGCCATGTATATGATCGGTGGCAAGTCTTGAATGCGCTGTCAATGCGTGCTAATTAGTACCTTCCGACCGTCGACGTAGCTGTTCGTTTTTGTCATGCATGAGCTGCGTCGAGTTCAACCGTATGCTGTCAACCTAGATACTTCTATCTTCTTTGTGGTCTGCTGGCGGGCACTGGCCGTTTCGGGATCACTTCCGCTCGCCTGTCCCCCCTCGCAGCAACTCTCCAAGGATTCTTGTTCATGATAGTAGGTGAAGGCGCGTGTTGTCCACCCGTGCAGAGGCGTTGCACCTTTTCAACTGTGATCCAAATGACCTTGGATGTGTGCTGTGGAACCGTGTCGAGTAGTTGGTACAGAGCGTGATCCGGGAGATCAAGCCACAAGTCGTGATGCTGGAATTGGATGCAGAGAGGGCTTTCCTTTTGCCCCCAGGGACACCATATCAGGTGCGCGATGGTCGCTGGCGCAGCTTTCGGATCCCGTCGCTGTTCTTTTCACCTGTGTCCGACAGGGTCGAGTTGTGACTCTCAATTGTGATGGTTCCATGAGGAAGGGGGAGAACCATTCCTTATCGCTCCTGAAAACCATCGAGTTGTGAATCTTGATTGTGATGGCTACATGAGCCCGGAGGCGCATCATCCCCTTTCGCTCCTGAAAACCCTTGAAACGCGCGTGAGAACAACAATCAGCCATGTGCTGTGCACTCGCCCTCTCTTTTCGCTGCTCTTGACGCCCTTGGTAATTGTTGTCGCGCAGAGTGAGGATAAGCTCTGGTGGTGGAAACCTGCGAAAGCTAAAGGTGGGCAATCAGGGTTGTTCGAACCCCGCCACCGCAGTACGAATTGTCATCTTGCAGCTTTGACCACATGGCCGTAGTACATCCCGTGAGCTTGTGATGGACGCCATTGCACGACGTGCGAACTCGCCGTTGGGTGGGAGGAGATGGGTTTTCGTACGGAACGGTTAAGCTCTATGAGGTGGGCTGGTCAGACAACGCTGTCAACATTCGGGGATTATTGCTTCTTCGCGTTGAAACTATCGAACGGTGGACTAATATTCTAATCTGAAAATTCGTATCAATCTTCTGGGCGTCACGTTCCGTACAACTACGCATGGGACGAGTTCGCTTGCGATCGTATCCCCGCTTTTGGTCTTCCGTCACTCTTGACTTTCGCAGGGCGGAGACCTGGAGCTGTCAGGAACAGGGACAAAGCGAAGCCCCGAAAGAGGACACGAAACCAAAGGAAATTTGACCAGGACGAACACGTAGGCGTCAGCGAAATATGGACAGCAGGCCGCGAGGCCCAGGCCTGCGGAGCGCGGGTTCTTCTTGGCGACAGAAGCAACGAGGTATACGGGCGATACATGCAAACACGATCTGTTTTGGGGGTGCTTGGTACCCAAGAGGTTTTTTTCATTTACACCCATTTCCCCAGCAGGTCATCAATCAGAAGGAACAGCCAAAGTAATGGTCATGCGTACCCCCCGGGTTCAGTGCGCCGTGTTTCGGCACTGTGACTTTACTCCGTTGCGTACTGCGTTGTGAAAGTGAATCCCCCGCTCCCCATTCTGACACCAACTAGACTGCCGGTACCTTTTTCTTCTGTAGCGCAGAAAGAGGACCTCAGACTCGCCCAGGAAATATCGATCGGATTGCTAAATGTTTGCCGATTTTTTCAATCGTCAGTGCTCCATGATATCTTCTCACGTGCCCAGGTCGGTTGTAGGTATGGCACACCTCCTCTCCGATCGAAGAGGATCTTGAACATGCTCGCCCCCCCCCGCCCTTGCTTGCGGTTCTCGTCAGGTGTCGAAACACCGAGAGCGAGAGGCGGAACGTGCTGACTCGCAGATGCTTGCAGAGATCACAGGCATCGAGCGGAAAGAGCTCGAGAGAGCTGGGAAGGGGTTGCGGAAGTTGACGGCACTGATCGAGCGCCGACGGTCCTTTGGATTAGAGGTGTGAGGGAAGGAGATTCAGTCAAGCCGACGTTCGTGAGTCTCGGGATTTGCCGTCCTGTTAGGCGTTGGGTTGTGCGTTCTACACGTCAAATCCTCTACGTCACCACCTCTCGGCACTCGATGGTCTGTTGGAGATTGGAGGCAATATATTTTACCGCGCACAGATATGTTTGTCGTTGGCTCTAGTCGCCGCTTCCTCTTGATGCTGCATTTTTCGTTCCTGCTCAAAAGTTCTTGTCTCATTCCTAACGCCCCGTTGGTCACGTGCTGTTCGAATGCGCTTAGATGCCAGAGACACGCGCGATTGTCCGAAAGCACAGCGAGTGGCATAAGCTCTTGGGGCCAAAGGAGTTCGACGTTGTTGTCCGCGAGCGAGACGAGGTGAGCTCGTGCATTACTTTCGGTGTAGTGCCGTCGGCCTAAACACTGCGCGTACTGTATGTCTACAGCTAAATTCTCTTTGGTCCGCTCACCTTTGTCGCTGAGTACAGGTCGTGCTGGCTGGATAGATGGAGTGAACGTACTTTCATCTGCTCGTCGTCCGTGATAGTCTCCTTCTCTTGTCTGTTAGCTGATAAGTAGCATGACAGCTTGCTGAACAGCAAGGAGTTGTCTTGGCATGGCTTCTCTTGCAGAGAACGGGTGGACACGATGACGGTGGTGAAAGGTTCGCACAGAGCAACATGCGGTGTATGTGATCAACAGGGCCATGATAACCTTCACCTTAAGACGAGGTTTGAGTTTCTTTTTTTACTCTTGGGGGAGTTGAATAAGCTCGGGGTTTGACAGCATCTGGTGAGAACGTACCGTGAAGAGATTATCCGTCTGTCGTAGATGCGGCATGACCGTCGCCTCTTCGACACGTATATAGGGCAAACAACGAGGCATAAAACAGCTTCAACCCCTGTACATTGCCCTTTCGTGTACCCCTAGCGAAACTACCGGGACGATGATTTTGTTTGTACACGGGCACCCACGGTCCATGATATGTAGTATTTGGTGCAGCTTCTGCACGAAGCTGCCATAGAATCCATCAGCTCTGCGCTTCAAGTGCTACTGGAATGCCCAAGTATACGTGCAAAGTCAACACAACTCCAACTTGCTCTTGCTCTCAAAGCTGCTCTTGATTCCATCCAGCAACTCTTGGTATATCCACAAAGCCACTTGGTTCTTCTTTGTGTTCACCAGCGCTCCAATCCACTTAAGCTGCTCTTTCCTGAATCTCAATGCTGTTGTGAAGATGGAGAATTGTAGAGGACGGCCTTCGGCTTCGCTCTGATCACCTTTGTTCCTCCCAAACTCCGTCAGGTTACTCATTTTCCAGCGGCACCCACAGATCACAAAAACAGTTCAATCTATTTATTGTATTTTTTCACCATAATATCTCGGTGTCCCTCACCTGGGTACCTACCGGGTGTAGGTTGATCCGCTCGAGACAGACATGGCGTCGTGATCACACTGTTGGTTCCAGTCATCGTGGAAGAGAGTTCCAACATTCTGTGGTCCGACAAGGCGTTTCCACCGGAGGAGGCACGCGTGACAAAGGATACGAGGGCGATTCTTGAGACCATCCCCGACTCCTCTAAATGGCGGAAACAACACGATTGACGGCAGAGGACGCGAAATATAGGATACGATGACATTGACCTTCCTGCATGCCTTGGACCTCCATCTCCAATTTTTCCCTCCTACATCATAGCCTTAATCATCGTCGCACTACAGCTCTTGGTTTTGCTTGACGGGGCTTTCTTGCCGTTGAAGCCATTCAGCTGATCTCCTTGCATGCTAGGTCATGGACAAGATATATATGTACACGCCTCGTTTGTTCATGAGTTGACGGTTGAAACGTTCCAGGATCAGCACACCAGCTCCAAGCGTGATCATCACATGTATCTACGGTATGCCTCGCTGCTTCATTGCTCCTCCCCTTCTCAATGCGCTCATTGGGGTTACCACTCGTGTTTGCTAAGTGGCAGGTACACGTCATGCTCCCCGGCGTACCAATCAATGTTCTTTTTTCGTTGTAGGTTAAGTCATACTCCTCTTCAAGATCACACTATTGTTACGACTCAGTTATACAATCCGACACACCGCAGAGGCGAGAACGCACTCTCGCCACGAAGCAGAATGATAACCGCTCACCGTGGGTGCATTTGCTCAGAGTTTGTCTACAGCAGTATAAATCGCTGGGCCCGTTGCTGCGCCCGTTGCGAAGGGTAGACGTGCCTCTGACAAGGATGCGCAAGAACACGTGCACTGCCGCCAGAGAAAGATGTACCGAAGCACGAAACCGATCGAATAATGTACGAACTTACTGAAGCTTGCGAACAGTTTGGACCACTGCAATAGCGGGGCTGAATCTCACAGTAGTTGAATATAGAGCATTCCCACTACGTTCCCAATGCCGTGATTATACTCCCTTGCGCCTCAATGCCAGAGCTGCTCAGCCATGCATATTTTCAGGCGCATTTCCCCCCCTACAGCAGAGGCCAATGGTCTAACGACCACGACATGAACGGGCATGAGTACACCCCCCTATCGATTCGCGCGAAGGCGGTGTTGCCAGTTCGTGAGAGACCGAAGACTTTGTGGCGATGTTATTGTGGCCTCCTTGAGATTTTCACGGCCGGACGGTGGCACCGGAGCCTAGCTCAATTTTCGAGGTCTGATGAATTGGAAAGTTGGGGAGTGCGGCATGTGATGCAACCTCTTTGCTACAACTACCAACCGATACATGGCTCCTCGCTATCATTTACCAACCGGCGCATTCTTGTAACACTTGAGATGTGCTTCATACGTTCTCCTACACGCATGTATCATTGTACGCGTCCACTTTGTTGAGGTGTCTGTCCTTACTGCACATCCTACAGTACTATTTCGACACGCGGTCCTGTCGTCCAGGTGATGGCTTACAGTCTCATGGGTGTGGAACCGAGTCTGGGACTGGACGCGAAGCACACATCCGTGGCAGTGGTCGGATCTGCCCACCTTGATGGCATGGAAGGCATCCTGGCAGCAAACGGCTATGATATCCTCATGTAGCCCATGCCACGAGAGAATCTTTGTTTAGCGCTTAGGTGGGCAGCAGCGCTATGTTTTGAAGTAGAAGGACCAGAGGCCTTGCGGTGGTTTGCCAGCGCAGCCGCCGTGCCTTATAGCAGCGCAAGGCTTAGTGAACCAAGCGCATTCCTTCTTTCCCAGGTGCTTGGCCAATATTCCGACTAGGTCCTCCGTAGCCCTGCGGTGTTTGTTGTGAGGAAGGTCATCTGGCTCGAAACACGTGCTCTCTTCAGCGCCATGTTTCCCTCCTCCATCACCATTTTCATCTTGCTCCTTTCTTCCCTTTCCCTTTCCTCCTCCGTCGTCACTCGAAAATGAATTACCCTCAATACCATCACCATCTCTTTCAACGGCACTACAAAACTCCCAACTATAGGCCGTGGTGAAATTTGGTCGATCAGTAGCCCATGGTGTTTGTTGAAGTCACGAGGTCGTACTGATCGAAGTAGTGTAGCTCGAAGGTAACCGTCTCCGAACTCTGTTGGATGGCAAGCCTTGAGGCGAGAAAAGGCGGACTCGTCGTCGAAATTTCTATGCAGAACGGCCTCGTAGGCCAGGAGGTATGCCTGTGTTTGTATGTATTTTTCATATAGCGTATGTCCCTTCACTGCCATCCCGTGTGTGGCAAAACATTCAAAGCGGCCTTTTTGTGGAAACCATGCAACGCCCATATACTGACGGGCTTCAATTTTGGTCCGGAGGGGGGCGGGGGGTGTACCCTCATAATTTTTGTGCCTTAGTGGTTGGACCATTGACCACGCGTCCTCGAGAGGACGGAGAATTGTTCCCACAGTGCCGATCACCGATGACCAATCGTTCCTTCCTACTTTGCCAGAGATGGCTCGAAGATGTTTTCCCAAGCCTATCTATTCTATCGATATTGTTTCTCGCCGTTTCACCCCACTTCTTCCAATGCCCCAGTACAGCTACCGTCTTCTCCTGGCTATTCAATGCCTCGAACACCTCCCTGTACCTTCGTCTACTTTTCCCAGCAGTATTGTACAATTCTCTTTGTGGTACAACGGACATTCCGCAACTATCATTTCGGAGACACTCGGAGCAGCGTTCACATTCGAACTGTCGTCGTCATCGTCTACCTTCCCAAATTTCCGTCTACCTTCTCCAAGGCCAATGTCCCCAGTCATAAATTTGACTTTCAGCTTTGTCGCTTCGTCCACGGTCAATGTACTCATTTAGACCTCTTGAATCTTGGTTTCTTCGGTACGTTGTGTTCTGTCTCTACAATAT